GTGTGAGTATTTAATCTTCTGGTCTGTTGCTTTTAAATAGATGATGGACATTTAAGGCATGCTGAGATAATTTCTCTTTGTATTGTTCTAGCCCGTGAGTGTATCTAACGTTGTAGTTTATTGCTTCTAAGTTTTTGACTGGTTGTTTTGACGATGTCTTCGACCTATGTGTCCAGGTTAAATTTCAGCCCCTCACAACGCATTTAGTATTTGCAGGATCTAAGACGACACATATCACACTTCTGCCCGTCATCCTAATTTTGGTGCTTTTTTAGAGGTGTGGGATTGGGCAGTGGTGAGCTTGGCTCTCATATCAGGTTTCTCGTCTACATTAATCTTGATGTATGCAAGAATTTCTTATCTTAGTGATATCAATCTATTAGTATGTCCATGCAGTTATAGCTCTGTTACTTTCCTTCTCTATGTGGTTTCTTTGTACTATTTCATAGGTGAGTTAACTGTCTTGCTGAAAGGGCAGTGAGTCAGTGACAGTTTCTTGCAGTTTCCTTCTCTACATTAGGAGTTCCAGTTCTGCAATCGTTTCTCTCTGTTTTCACAAAGTTGTGTATTTTCTAAATATATGATTGCTGGTTTCAGCAATATATGATGTCTCTACCACAACCCAGCATGCAAGGGCTTATCTATGTCTTTTATTTGTTGTATCATAAACATCATCTATGTTTAGTTTGCACATATTATGCTGGCACCTTCAACGGCGTGGTATATCTCCCACCCCATCAGTTCTTTCCTATAAGGATCCCAAAACATGGATCTGTGGTATGCAGCTGAAGGAGTTACTGCCAGATCAGTTGTTGAAGGAAAATCATACGTTATTGTTACGCATTTCACCTGTGTTCATGAATAAAACTAAAATGTGCATATACTATAGTCTTATAATTGTTTTCCTGCCATCTAGATTGTACCAAATAAGGTAATAACCAAATATGCAATTTTGGGTAAGGTCTAAATGCTATTAGAAAATAGAAATGGTATGATGCATACTACTATTTAAACTTATAAATGAAGTAGTAGATCTGCTTCATTTTCACTTATTTTCCTTCTCCAGTTCTGCACTTGTACCCAGAAATTGATGATGTTACAGGAAATAACCTTGAAATTTTTAGACTACCTGCTTCAATACAGAACTTCGGGTCAACGCTCGGATAGTTCTTTTATTTATGCAGGGAAAATTACAATGCATGTCAGTTTTTTTTGTTGCCTGGAATTGTTTTGTTTTATGATGTGGATTTCTGTGTATTTTATCTCATCCAAAATCAAACTCATAATGGTGAACATCTTATCTAAACTCGTCGTACTTCTCTTTCTTGCTTCAGATTGGGAAGCAGTCAATGGGTGATTACCGAACGTGTCGGAACTTCCAAGCAAATGTCTCTCTGTGGCTAAAATAAATCTTATTTCCCATCAAGTTACTAAACTGCAATGGGTAGTTGGTCGGTCGCTGTCAATTGAATGTGAGAATTGAAATGTCTTGCCGTATTACAATTCTTGTTTTGCTTCACAATCTTCTCTGTTAAATAGACCTGTTAGTATCTATGAAACTACTACGCTTGCTTTGCTTTATGAATGAACACTTGTCTCCTGCAGTTTTTACCGCGTCTTATATTCGAACCACTACGCCCATCTAGTCTGCCTCTTTTTTTTGCTGAATTATACATGTTGTCATGCAAAGACATTAACAAATATAAAAGCTTGATTAGTGCGCATAATTTTGCCTCAAGAGGCGCCACCAGGTGGTGCCTCAGTCACTAGTTGACCAACAAGGCAGTGAACACTCGGTAATGCTACAACGGCAGCCCTTACGGGCTTTTACGGAGCAGGTTTAAGCTGACAAATTATCATTGTATTAAGGGGAGGGAGGGGGCCCACCCACCTAAAAATCTGGGGGGGGGGGGGACGCGGAGCGAATTAGAGGAAAGGGTCCCCGTAAAGCTCATGTAACAACCCATACGTTTAGCATTTTTCGTGAACACTTAACACACACATCATCGCCTAAGTACAAATCTACACATCTTCTTCAGGCTCCATCCCTTGATCCATTCTTTCCCACCTCCTTCAGGCTTCAGGCTTCAGCCATGGCTGCCAAGACCACCTCATGCTTCACCTTCCTCAAGGAAGCGCTGGTCCTCCCCACGCGGAACCCCAAGCTTTTCGCCCCCATCCTCATCCTCCTGGCCGCCATAGCCTTCCTCATCCCCGCAGTCAACGTGGTCTTCATCCAGTCGCTCACCGCCGAGATGCTCCGCCACCTCACCGAGATGCAGACCAGCGACCCCTCTAGCTCCGCGTTCGCCCGGCTCCTGGAGGAGGTATGGCAGGAAACCAGGGAGCTCATCCTCATCGTCGTCGCCCTCACGGTCATCACCCGGGCGCTCGTCTTCGCCAAGCAGATCCTCGCCTTCTCCGCAGCACGACCTACTCCGGCGACCGCCACTCCCTCGCCGAGCTCCTCCATAGGGTGACCAAGTGGGGAAACCTCAAGGACCATTGTAGCTCCTTACTCCTCCTCCACAGAACAGATCTAGGAGCACCATTGTAGCTCTTGTGCATATCATACCATTTTGGCAGGACTAGGGGTGTTACCTCCCCCGGAGGGCTCCGAACATGGATACGTCTTGAGTCTCGCTCTCGCCCGTATTGACCTTGCCTTCAGAACCCCTCGGCGTCCTCACGCAACCCCTCACTTTTAGCCATCTCATGGCATCTATCATGACTTCACCACGACAACGCCACAACTGCCACCACGACGATAACAAAACCGTACACAAACTTGAAAACCCCATCAGAGTGGTACATCAACTCTAATAATATTTCATTTACATACAAATCAATCTAAACGTGGCCACGTCAACCCCGCCGTCGTCTGTTTGCATAAAACCCTCTTAAGTGGGTATTTTTTTTTTAATTTCTGGTCCTCAGAGCGCATCATGGCATTTTATGAAATCAATCCATAGTAATGCTATTCATCCACCGATCCTGCAAATCCTCAAAATCCATCCATCTCTTTGTCTCCTCTTCTCCCTCGAGTTCTCTGACGTGGTCGTTGCTCGACACCATTTTGGAGCTTGTCTTTGTTGATCGAATTGGCGTGGAGCCACGCGTGTTGGAACCACAAGACTTCCCATATGAATATGGTATGTGGTCGATTGAGCCCTTCTCACCGCAAGTCCAGCTCCCCTTTGTTAGTTTTTTTCAGGAAAATGGTCAGATCCTGAAACATTTTTGAACTATCGGTTAGATTGGCTCAACTTTCGTAAAAGGGTCAAAACACCAAAATTAGCCGCCGGTTGTGTGCTGGACTGCTGGTGCTATTCCGCGATGGGTGCAACTTTTGTTCCTGAACCAAAAATGTTTTAAACATGTATCTTCACCATTCTCTTACTTTTCTCATCCCCTGTTAGCAGTGGCGGAGCTACAGGGTGGCCAGGGTGGGCCGCGGCCCACCCTGGGATTTTGACCCGGCCTATACCTATATAGATGGGCCAGAGAAGGAAAAAAACGGCCCAACAACACTTTGACCCAAAAACAACCAACGCTCTCGCTCTCAGCCAAACCCCAGGCACCACGCACATACAGGCATACAGCGCGCTGGCCCTCTACCCGACACCCAGCCGCCGGCCGCCCCCGTCTCGGCCTCTGCCTGCCTCGCGGGACGCCGGTCGCCGGCCGCCCAGGAGTCTCCTCTGCTCCTGGCCTCCTGCCTCCCCATTGCGCCCTCCGCCTGCCCGGCGCTCGGCGCCAGCCTTGCCACCGCCCCCGGCCGCGACCCTGCCCTGTCCCGGCCGCCTGGCGCCCCTGCAAGCCGGCGGCGCCGCCCAGTCCGCACTACGGCACTCGGCTCGGCCTGATTTGAGGTACCGTTCATCCATTCCCAAATTCCCCAATTTTTGATTTAGGGTTTGCTTGCTATTTGTTGTGTTGTGCATTGCCTGTGTGGTAATATAATTTTTGTTCCGAGTAATTACTAGTTACAAGGTACAACCCAACATCCTAAACTGAGAAGAAAAGGCTAATTCAGACATCTTACACTGGTTCATGGTTGCATCAGAAATCTGAGACTGTTAATTTTGTTTTGTACTTTTGAGGTATTGAACAGAATGTTGAACTTACTGTCCAGGTCCAGCCATGCTTAATTAAACAGAATTCATGTTGTATTATGGGTCTTAATTGGATTGAGGGGCTGTAATAAGGTTATGTATTGAGGGTCTTAAGCTACTGTTGGAAAGGCGTGTAATTTACGCATGCTTTCAAACAGAGTTGGAAAGGAGTACCAAACTACCCATCTGTTCCTTCCCTTTTCTGCCATGAGTTTAGTCAAGAGCAAGTTGAGAAATAAGATGGGCGATAGTCTTTTGGATGATTGTCTAGTCACATACATTGAGAGGGATGCTTTCTCCGAGGTGAATGAAGATGATATAATTGACACCTTCATGGCAATGCAAAAGCGTGAGCCAGAAACATAGTCTTTTTGAATTTCTCAAGGTATGTACTATGGTCCATGTAGTATGTACTATGTAGGCTTTTTTATGCAAAACAGAGATTTAATTGAGGATTTTAGTGTTTTTGCAAGTCCATATTGTGATATTGATCTATTTCTTTGTGATATTGGTAATTAGTTAGAACTTTCACATGTCATATTGCTTATAAAAAAAAAATAATTAGGGCGGACCACCCTGGTGTCAAATGCTAGCTCCGCCACTGCCTGTTAGCCCTATGCCTTGCAAGGGTCTGGCTCCGCACACTTGCATTGACTGACTAATCCAAATTTCATGACCTGAATATGTGCAGCTGACCATACAAAGAAGGGAATGCAAATTTGCTGACCTGCACTTGTATTTTTACTCTCCTGTATCTGTATGTATAATCGAGGATTGACTTAGTCAAATGTACGTAGTACAATGATAATGATCACGCAGCTAGGAAGCACCACAAGTATATGTATGACTCATTAGTCATTATATTATACGGGGCCGACCGATCAATCAGACATTTGCCTCACCCTCACCGGAAGGTATCTTGGCATAGTAGCCATCAAAAGCCAGGATCGCCTCCTTGCTCTCCATGGCCTCATAGTAGTACACCGTGGCCGCCGCCATGTAGAACAGCTCCACCGCAGCAGACAGGAGAGCATACCCGAACAGCAGGCACAGCCCCACCGCCATGCTCTTCTTGGCGTACACGAGCGCCAGCGCGTACACCGGGCTCACAACGGTCGACAGGAGGAGCATCACCGCCGCCAGCAGGGCGCCCTCCTTCCTGCTCACCCGCATCATGAGCCGCCACGCCCGCAGGAGCGCGCGCACGCCGCGGCACCCCTCGTCGGCCACCGACACGGCGACACCCACCACAGCCACCACCCCGAAGTACATGAAGGCCAGGAAAGCGAGGGCGAAGAGCGCACCTTGCACGGAGAGCGCCTCCGCGTGGCGCATGACGGTGGAGAGGTAGGCGCCCAGGAGCGCCATGAACGTGAGCTGGAGCGCGGTGACCACGCCCACGGTGACGAGAGGGCCCCTCAGATTACCCCACTTGGTCACCCTTCGGAGGAGCTCGGCGAGCGAGTAGCGGTCGCCGGAGTAGGTCGTGGAGGCGGCGGAGAAGGCGAGGATCTGCTTGGCGAAGACCAGCGCCAGGGTGACGAAAAACAGGCCGACGGAGATGAGGACGAGCTCCCTGGCTTCCTGCCGTATCTCCTCCAGGAGCCTGGCAAACTCGGCGCTTGAGGGGTCGGTGGTCTGCATCTCGGTGAGGTGGCGGAGCATCTGGGCGGTGAGCGGCTGGATGAGGACCACGTTGACGGCGGGGACAAGGAAGGCGATGATGGCCAGGAGGATGAGGATGGGGGCGAAGAGCTTGGGGTTTCGCGTGGGGAGGACCAGCGCTTCCTTGAGGAAGGGGAAGCATGAGGTGGTCTTGGCAGCCATGGCTGGCGGTAACTGGAGAGTTGTGATCTGGTCGAAGCCTCAAGGAATTGTAGGAAGAATGGATCAAGGCCTGAAGCCTGAAGGAGATGTGTAGATTTGTAGTACTTGGGCGATGATGTGTCGCTGGTCAATGGAAGACTTTGAAAATTAAAGGCATGCAAGTCGTTGCATGAGCAACAGGCAATTGGTTGGTTTTTCCAACCAATGGTGCCCCACCAATATCACTTTCAGGATTACTTTCGCTGGCTGCCATCTCTCCAGCTTGTTCCGATTAGCCTTAAACCGTTATGTGTTTTCACATCGGTAGCTAATCCGTGCATATAGTACATGGTAAAAAAGACAAGAAGGATGGTATTATCAAGATTTTGTTTTTTGCGACTAAAAAGTTCAAAATAGTTTTACTCTCAAACAATACAAGTTTTCTTTTTGTGAGAACTATATGAGTATGTTGGACAAAAGAAATATCTCCTTCTAAAGTTACCACCCAGCGATTTACGAAGTTCTCGATCTATTGATAGTTTTATACCAAGGTTGCACCGTGCTACCGCGTTGCAAAATAGGCAGCTGGCTAGGTGTTTTTTTAAACACAGTACAGACGCAAGCGCTCATACATACACACATACACTCACTCCTGTAAACGCACACATGCACACCCTATCCTTATGAGCATCTTCGATAGACTGAGCCGGCATCATCTTGAGATTTACTAAGTCATCATAGGCGCTTCGTCGTCGACGGTTACGTCTTCTCCCACTGAAAGCGCATCGCCGAAAATTCTGAAATAAATTCAGAAATAATACGAGCATCATGACTTGAATCTTGGTGGGCTAGGTGTTGTTAGGCGGTAATAAAAGGTAATTTTCTTGGGGAAACATAATTGCCATCTGGCAATTATATGAATTTGTCACTACATTTCACTATATTGGTGTTAGATTTACTTGGTAACTTGTTACAAAATAATTGCAACTAGCAATAATTCAAAATGGTGCCCACGCTCATCTGCTCCCAGTGAATAGTAAAACAAAAAAAGTAGCAAACAAAATAAAAAAGTATGAAATTTGGTCTACACGGTGCACCTTTTGAAAGTTTCGTTGATAAGCCAATTTGTTTTTATTTTTGCCAAGAGCTCATCAAATGTTCAAACACCTTGAAATTTGGCACACGCCTAGAAGATTCTCTCAACTTTGATGTGTAAAAATTCTAGATTGTTTGAGTCTCTTTTATAGTTTTTTATTACCGTTCATCGACGGGTGCAGCTGAGCTTGGGTGCAGAAATGCCTCACATGACAACTAATGTATTTGTGTGTGGAAAGCAAAAGAGGATTTTTTTTTGTTAAAATATGCACAAGTATTAGTTTTGAAGCTCTTGTCGGAATGAAGCTAACAATGAAAACGAATTGTTAATCTAATAAACGATTTGAGCTATAAAATATATTGTCTAATTTGATAATTGGATTTATATCCGATGATATCATCTTTTTGGCCGTCCTTGGATTAAATCACCGTCCAGACTCACTCCACGCCGCTGGGTTGCAATGGCTCCGTCGTCGACTGGTTGTGCCCCAGTAATCTCCTCTCCATGTGCACCGAATCGACCCCACAATCTTCGTCTCCGTCGATTTCCAGCCTTTTCACCGAATGCAGCCGATTTCTTGCCAGCTCGCAGTCGTCGCGGACGTGTTGCGCTAGCGGTTCCTTTTTCCGAGATTACAGAGGCAACGGCACAAAGGTCACATCTTTTCCATCCCCGGCCAGCAACCTCTCGCGACTCAATTCAATCGCTCTCCTAGACGTCTTTTTTTGCGGGTGAAAAAACTTGTATTACTCAAACTTCACACTTGTACAGGCCATCGCAGCCAACTCTATGGATACGTGAGGACAGAACCCAATCAAGTCATGGTTCTACCCTCAATACGAGCAAAATTAGTTAGGCTATCATTAACCTTATTCTGGCTACGATAGTAATACAACTTTTACGAAGAGACATAAGATATTTAATCTCCTTTATGATGGACGAGTAAATGGATCGATCAATCGCTCTCCTAGACGTCAACGCCAAGGGGAGGAGGAATGACGGCGTACACCATGCGTGCGTGCAAAGGTACGGCGAAGGGGCTGAGTGTTGCGGCCTTCGCCGGGGTCGCCGGCCCGCCATAAACAGCTTGTCTCCCGTCCGGTCACCACAAGAATAAAATCACCTAATCCGCTGCATGCATGCATGACACTGGGTTGCGCTCAGCCAAAATGAAAGACACGGCAACCTATCGCCGTTTCAAGGGCCTGCTGCTAGTGCTGGCGAAGCCGAAGTGATCACGGACGGGCTGCAACGCCGCGTTAATCGAATATGGCGAATCCTAACCAGTTAGACGCCGTTGCTAGTCCACGCGGAGTTGCAGATGCGCGCCCTTGCATGTGCGTGGATTCTCTCTCTCTCTCTCTTCCTGACACATGCATGGCCTACATTAGCTTCCCTCTCTCCTCTAACTCCCATCTTTTTCATTTTCTTTCGACAATTAGATGGTACATATCTTTAGAACCAAAAAGTCATTTTCAAAACTTTTTACATATTTGAACTCGTGACACCAAACCCTTTAAACAAGTACAGTCTTGGATACATTTGAAACACTTTTTTAAAAAACGTTTGCTTTAAACAGTGAAGAACTTTTCATTTTTATTCTAAAGTGCCAAAAAACAGAATCAGGGCTGAAGAATTTTCTAAATAATGGGTCTGCACTTTGTTAGGAATATGAAAGAACTTTGCTAGAAAATGTATGTGGAAACAAAGAACTTTATCAACAGCTTGGCCGAACTTTGATGAAATGTTTATGAAACTTTTTTGAGCCACATACAATTTAATTTTATCTTGGGCTCACAATTTAATTTGAAATATATTGATATTGGACTTGTTTTGTAGAGCTGATTGTGACAAACTCGAACACATAAACGAACTTAAATTTACGTAATTTATTTAAAAGTAATGGTGGCATATTTGGTTATTCGGTTATTTTGTTAAATAAGCCGCAGCATACATGTGAATATGACGAGGAAGTACACTGCATGGCTGACAACGCAGTGGGGCAGGTTGATTGGACATGACCCTAGATGGAGGGCCAAGATACAGGCTGTGCGGGTAACTGGTTAGGAAAAATCCACTTCCCGCGTTAATGGCCTTCTTAAGCGCCCGCTTCACGTCGGCGGCCTGCAGAGCACCGCTCTCATAGTCAGCGGCAAGCTCCTCCATGCTCAAGAACGCCCTGTCACCACCGTCCTCCTCCTTCCTCTCCACCTAAAACCTCCCAAACAGAGGAAAGATTATCTGCCTGATGTACTCCAAGCACGGGTTGCCTTCCACGGTCCCCGGCGGGAACGCCTTCCGCATCGCCCGGCCGACCTCCCACTCCGTGTCCTCCATGTAGATCGCCCACCTCGGGTCCCTGAACATATCATTCTCCGGGTACTCGAGCAGGCTGGGCAGCACGCCGTGGAACAGGGCGACGACCGGCCGATGCGGATCCTCGCGCATAGCCGCTTCCCGCTCGCGGTACAGCTCGGCCACCTTGTTGCTCACGCGCTGGCCGATGTCCAGCAGCCACACGTCCGCCTCGTCGCGGGACAGTATGGCGGCGGAGTGCATGCACGTGACGAAGACCTCGTGGGAGAAGAGCGACTTCGGCTCGTCGTAGTACGGCCTCGTGTCCTTGGACGAAAGGATGCACTCCGTCACCTCGCTCAGATTGGTGCTCCTTGCGACTTTCAAGGCGAGCGGCCAGTATCGACGCAGGTCGCGGCTGATCTCGTCTGACGAGCGAACGAGCTCCACCCGTCGAGGCGCATGCGGGCTGTCCTCCACATCTCGGTGTTGTACGAGCAGACGTCAATGACTTTTCTCAGACTGACGTTGTAGCTTGTGAGAGCGAACCAGTTCGCCATGAATATCTTGACCTTGCAGCCGGCTTGGAGCAGCTTGTTCACGTTGATCGCCATCGTGATGCCCTGGGTTATGTGCATCGATGGGGAGGGATCGCACCAGACGTAGCAGACAGGAGTAGTTTTCTTCTTCAGCAGCGTCCTGAGGTCGTCCTCGTTGGTGCACTCCCCTATGCTGCTCAGTATCGCAAACCTCTGATCAAAATTCACCTCTGCAGTATCATCGTTTGCAGTAGGTTCAAGACAAGAATCGGCTGCATTCTCCTTAGCGGAGGAATTGTTCTGCATGGTACTACAGGCAGGGGGAGTTCCCGTGCTGTAATTTTGTGGCGGCTGCTGCTCTTGGGAGGCACAGTCAGATAGTGATGACCGACGGTAAAACTGCTGCGGCGGCGTGTGGAAGCGGCGGCGAAGAGCGCCGGAGCTCTGGACGAAGCGATTTAGCGGTGGGCATTGGGTACCTTTGCCCCTCACCAGCGCAAACGCCCGCGCCAACATTGCTACCTGAAAAGACGATCGGCACACGCCGCCTGGCGAGGACGGGATATAGGTTGTAGTGTTTAGTGAGGTTTCGTAGCAAGGGCCTTTATCCGTGCAAATTGATGGCATGCATGGTTTAATACCAAAATTTGGTACGTATGTCAATGTCTGGCAAGTAAAAAAATGCCATTTATCGGTTGAATACCAAATTGACCGGCCTCTAAAAAAGTTGTCAATTTGACAAGCTTCGATATTATCAATTGTTTTTTTTCTATATACACGTCATCAAATTTTAGCTTGCCATGGTATAAACACAATAGCTAGCCAGTTTTTTAGTAACAAGCAAAGTATACCGTGAAATCCAATTGGCACAGCCAATGGAAACTGTCCATTATTTTAGGCTTTAGAAAGAAATCGTACAATATGAACTAGGATTTGACAACCCCGGCCAGCACGGGCTCGTCGGCTGTTCGTCCGCCATGGCCAGAGTCGCCGCGCACGTCCACCACGCCGCAGACGCCCGACTTTCATCCCCACCCACAAACCTCCCGTTTCTCCACCTCTCCCGGGGATTGTTCGCCGGAGGTGAGCGTGGTCGCGCCGACCACGACCGAGCCCTCACCCATGGCCACCGACCTCAACGCAACACCTGTGGTGGGCGGGTCGTTCACTGGGGGCCAAAGGAAATGCCCGCGCGAGATCCTCGCCGGTATGCATCCTGACGCGCGCAACCTGTTCGACACAATGCCAGCGACCACAAACGATGACATGACCAACCGTTTCATCATGGAGAACATCATCTTCGAGGGCAGTGTGGGTGACACGGCCTACGATCCCAACGAGACCCAAAGCCAAGACGGCCGAGGCCCCTTCATGGGCGGTGTGGATGGCACGGCCGACCCCTTCACGCAAAGCCAAGATGGCATGGGTAGCACTTCCCCGCAAGCCCACGAGTTCCTGGACGACTATGGCCTGGAACAAGCCATCGAGGGGGAGCCTTTGTTTGCCGACGAGCTCACATTCCAAGCCAATGCAAACAAGAAGTGCCAACATATTCAGACGAAGGCATACACAAAGGATGGGGATTAACTCCTTTGTGAATGTTGGAGCGATATTAGACGAGACCCCAAGATCGGCGCTAAGCAAAAGGCATCAACCTTTTGGCTAAGAGTTTATCACCAATTTCATGAACACAAGAAGTTCGCGCCATACAAGATGGAGAGCAAGTGTGGGTGGGTGTCCCTCTCGAAGCATTGGAGGGTCATACAACAAAAGTGCAACAAGTTTTGTGCCACCCTTCAAAGCATCAACGGCCATCCCTTGAGTGGCCTCGGCATCAAAGACATGGTATACATTCCTTCATCTTCGTTTACGTTTGTTTTCAGGCTTGCATGCATGTCCACTGCCCATTTGAATATGCATTCGTGTTTTCATTTGTAGGCATACCAAGCTTTGCAAGCTTTCAAGGCCCAACATGGAAACAAGCCGTTCACCCTCACCCATTGTTGGATGATCATAAAAGGCGACGAGAAATTCAAGGAGCAATATGCGGCCCTCGGGAAGAATGGAGGGGAGCAAGCCGCCGAGGAGCATGATGAGGGACGTAAGCCATGGCCACGAGGAAAGACCACTCCCAAAAAGAGGACAAGCGTGGTGCGGCGTCATTTGCCTTGCAAGCAACTTTGGAAGGCATGATCACCCAAAATGATACAAGGGAGGAGAAGCGTCGGCAAGACAAATAAGAGCAAATGATGCCCTACATGGAGATGCAAAGGAAGAAGATCGAGATGGAGGCGGAGATGGAAGCTCGTGATGGACGAGAATTGGGTCGGCCGGTTGGGTGCACCGGTCTGACACAGTCGGACGACGAGTGGGCAGCCGACCCAAACGGACAAAAAGCAAACAAAGTGTGCATTTGTTTGGGTCGGCGTGTTGGAGTTGCTCTAAAGGTACTCCCTCCGTCCAGGTTTATTAGGCCTAAAGACAATTTCTCTTAGACCAAAACATATAGTAATTTGCGCACATTAATTCTTTTATTTCACTTTCAATGCACTCTCTCACATGCATGCAGCCAATGAAAAAACACGCATGAAGTGTATTAATTTACCAGTCATGGCACCAACAACAATGACTTTCAATGCAACCAATGAAATGGTTGCATCCATGCACCTTTCCAAAACGAGGCCTTATAAAAAGGAACATGCTTGTGATGCTGAGAGGCCTAATAAACCCGGACGAAGGGAGTAGTACCTTAGACTAGTAACATACGCATGTTACTACTTTAAGTTACTCTCCACTATGACATAAGGAAACTGGAAACCCACCTTGAATTCCCCCCAATTATACCTAGCCATCCCTCGGGCTGGGCCGAACAAAGCCCGACGAAGAAAACCTAGGCCCAAGCCTGGCCCAACCATCGGGCCTAAAATCCAGACCCAAGCCCGACCGGTCAATGTAAAAGCCCGCCGGGCCTCGAGCCTCGGACCTCTTCAGTAAAGCACAAATATGACAGGCCTAGGCCCGCCTAACCTGACCTTCGGTCTCAATTTTTAGGCCCAAGCCCAGCCCGCGGGTAAGACCGGGCCGGGTTGCCGATGGCCAGGTATACCCCCAATATTACCCAGGATTGGATTTATAATGGTTTTATACAAAGCTAAGGTGCAATTAATCCAGTTTTAAAGTTCAGAGGATATGGATGGGGGGCTATACTTCTTTCTTTCTAAAATGGAAAAAGAACCATGCAGTGTAGGATCGATAGGCCCAGAGTCCATTCATCATCTGCAGCCCGTGGTCTCATTCACTGTGGGCTAACCTGTAGCCTCTACTCTTTTCTCTCTAAGGACGAAAAAAAAAGTCTAATCATGGCGGCTCTTTCCCGAATATTTTTCGTGACCCATTAATAATGCTGAAAATTGTCGGTACAGGCCACATTTGTTTTGATGGCAACACATAGGAAGCCAGGTTGCACGACACTTGTTTGATTTGTTTACTTTCAAGTTCTTCGAATTTCTACTATTTACGTTCAGAAGTCGGAGTTTATCACGCAAATGTTTGCGGTACAAGATGCCAGATGATCATAATCGCCAAGTTTGTCAATGTCAGCACACAACGGGAATCATCTGAATAGCATCGTTGTATTTGTTTCAACAAACTAAATCACAGTTTGTGAGCATAAACATTTATTCTTGTTTGATGGAGTAACTGCTCAAACATTTGGTCGTCTTAAGCTTCTTCGGCTCAGCAATAACGCGTTAACTAACATCTTCAGTCAAATGTTATGAAAAAGATCAGTTTGTCATGCCTAAAAATTTGACATCAGACTTTTAGTGTTTCTGCAGATTTATGAGATCCCAACTGCTAAGCAAATAGAGATTTACTCACCATTATGCATCTGCTTTAGTTTTTGGGCTTTACCACCTTGGAAACATTAGTACTGTTGGTTCAATACACATCAGAATAGCAAGAATTAATGCAAAAAGGTACAAATCCGATAAGGTCACTTTTATCTTGGTCATTCTCTGGAACTTTCAAGAAACAGTTCAAGAGCAAGATGAAGATGGTATTTGTCATAGTGAAATACCGTAGAAAAAAGAGCATGACGCATATACGATGCTGAAATGTATCGGCCTAGCAACAATCCCATTGCGAACTACTATGCCTCTACTAGGCACCAAATTATGGACAAGACATGCCGTGAGCGAACAGACAAACACTTTTTTTTTATCAATCAAAATAGAAAATGAATAGCAGAGGGCATCTGGTGGTACCTTCACCTCCTACCGGCGCTAGCATCGCTACCTGACGATCTGATCGGCTCTCACCGCCGTCCGCCGCCGCCGAGGACGAGCTAGGGTTAGGGTAACGCTGAGCTCGTGAAATCCTCGGGCTTTTCTCTGCGGAAATCTGAGACAAAAATCGAGGGAGAAAAAAAACTAACCGTCCTGTGCTGGAACAAGAGGCCCAAGAGTCCACCTGCCGCGTTCGGCCCGTATAGCTCCCATTCTTAATGGGCCTGCCGTACCCATTACCCAAAGCTATACAAGGGCAAAGTCGTCTTTTACCCAGCGGGATCGATCCGTGGCATGGCTCGCCGACTCTGCCGTCTCCCTCGCCTCC